TCTCTCTCATTTTGTCCTCAATAAGCGCAACCTCTAATTTACTACGAATGCACTCATTTTTTTATCCTATCTTTTAATGTATACCCACAAGATCACCGTAACATTCTCATTTCTGTTACACTCATTTTTTAAACATATTTTTTAATTGCCTAACATTCTGACCCATAAAACATAGTTAGTCTTATAACCGTCGTATAAAATTTTCTCTTTAGTTTCATTGGTATTTTACGATCACATAAGACTCCCAAGCACTCATCCATTTCAACCATCTCGATTTGATTTGATGCACAACATCATCCTTTATCTCACCATCATGCCTAATGATAGATCCCAAATAGCGAAAATGATTAGTTTTAGGTATTTTTTAGCCATCAATATGTACTATATGCTTTCTTTATTTCCTACTTTTACTAAAAATGTATTTCATATATTCTATTTTTGTTCTATTAGTTCTAAATCTTTAGACTCAAGAGCTTGTTTCTAACTTTCTACTTTAGAAATAATGTCTCTTTTAGTTTCATCAACTAATACTATATCATCAGCAAATAACGTACATCATGGGATTTTATCCTGAATATGCTTAATAAGTTGGTCCATAACTAATGCAAATAGATAAGGATTTAAAGCTGGCCCTTGGTGTAAACCTATGCTAAGGGGCTGTTTGTTTGCCTAAAAAAAGAGGGAAATCAAAGAATAGGAAACCTATTTCTAAGAAAAATTATTTTGAGATTGTTTGGTTGGCTAAAAAAAGGGAAATCAAAGAATAGGAAACCTATTTCTAAGAAAAATTATTTTGAGATTGTTTGGTTGGCTAAAAAAAGAAGGAAATCAAAGAATAAGAAAAATTATTTTGAGATTGTTTGGTTGGCTAAAAAAAGAAGGAAATCAAAGAATGAGAGATGAGTTTCACATTATTATTGGATGATGTGAGTGATTTTTAAGAAAATTTGTTCTGATGTTATTTGGTTGACTAAAAAAATAAGGAAATAAATTATAAGAAACCTATTTCCCATAATAGGTTCTTTTCTTATGTTTGGTTCATTCATAAAAATAAGAAAATAGGTGAGATGAGATGAGTTATTATTATATTATTGGATGATATGACCCACAATTAAGGAAATCGATTTCCTAGTTTTTTTGGAGGAAATGGGTGGAAATGAAATGTTAATGAGATGAGATGAGTAGTCACCATATTATTGGATGATGTGAGTGATTTTTAAATATGAGATGTGATGGAGATGAGATGAGTTGGATGATGTGACCTATTTTTTGTGTTTGGTTTATTTTTAGGCGATGATATGAGATGAGTTATGGGATGAAAATAATATTTTATTGGATGTTGTGGTGAGTTTTAAGGATGGAAATGGATGAAAATAATGTTTTATTGATTTCCATATATCATTTTCCTTTTCTTGATTTTTAGGAAACCAACCAAACAGCCCCTAATAGGAAATGGTTTAATCTCTCCTTCATTAGTTATTACTCTAGTTGTTACTATATCATACATATCTTTAATCACATCAATATATATACTAGATACATATTTCTTTTCTAACACCCATCACATTACCTCTCTAGGTACTCTATCATAAGTTTTTCCTAGATCGATAAAACCATATGTAGATCATTTCTATTCTTTGTATCTCTCCATCAAACGTCTCAAAATATGTATAGGCTCTGTAGTTGACCTTCCAAGCATAAAACCAAATTGATTTTCAGATATACGTCTCTTAGTCTTTGCTCAATTACCCTCTCCCAAAGTTTTATAGTATCACTCATGAGTTTTATACCTCGATAATTTGAACAACTTTATATATCCCTTTTATTCTTATATATCAGTATTAAAATACTAATCCTCCACTCATCCGACATTTTTTCGTCTCGATTATCTTATTAAATATTTAACCATCCTAAGCCTATATCTCCAAGACATTTCTAAACTTCAATAGGATTCGTCTGGTCCTACGGCTCGTCCACTTTTCATTTTTTTAGAACATATTTAACCTCGCTAATCCTAATTTTACGACAATATCTATAGTTTCTATCATTTACTATATTGTCAAAATCTCTATTTTGCTCACTTGTTTGGTTATCATTAAACAATTGATAAAAGTAACCCCTGCACCTCTCTTTTATTTCCTCGTCGATCACTAGGACTCTTTAATCCTCACTTTAATACACCTAATATTACCCAAATCTCTACTCTTCCTTTCTCTAATCTTAGCAAGCTTATATATATCTTTCTCTCTTATATATATCTCTCTCCCTCCTTAGATTCTAACTATTTATAAAAAAAAAATTATAAGCTTTGTTGTTTTTGCTTCCTTCCTTACTAGTTTATATTTTTTTAAGTTTTCCCTACTCCTACACTTTTACTATTCTTTATATAAAGTTTTCTTCTCTCTAATAACATTTTGCACACTCTCATTCCACCACCAACTCTCCTTACCATCTAATCTACAATCTTTAAATTCTCCTAGTATATCTTTAGTCACTTTCCTAATACAAGAAAACATGTTATTCCACATAATATTAGTCTCATTATCTATGTTCTATATATCTTCTTTCATTATCTTATCTTTAAAATGTATTATATTCTCTCCTTTTAAATTCCACCATTTAGTTCTGAGACTTTTGTTCACGTTAGTTTTTCTACTTTACTTTTTAATAGATATGTCTAAGACCATCAATCTATGTTGTGTACTTAAACTCTCCTGGTATAACTCTACAATCCTTGCATATTAACCTATCCGCCATGCTAGTAAGAAAAAAAGTCTATTTGACTATTATTAAAACCACTTTTAAAGGTTATTAAGTGTTCATCCCTTTTTCTAAAAAGTATATTTGCTATTATCAAATCATACGATATAACAAACTCTAGAATTGATTTGCCCGTTTGTGGTACGTAAGTACTAATAATATTAATAATTTCTACATCTAAGACATTTTATTAGAATTATTCTATCTCCAACTCTTCTTACATCTACAACACTTTCTTTTACTATATTATCTACAAGAACTCCCACTCCATTCCTATTCTTCCTTTTTCCCGTGTACCCAAGTTTATATCCGGTCTTTTTAATTTCGCTAGATTTTTCACCTATCCATTTAGTATCTTGTAAACAAATTATATTTATCTTTCTTCTAATCATGACATCCACTAATTCCATTGTATTTCCAGTAAGTGTACCTATATTCTAAGTAACTAATCTAATTCTATTATATTGTAAAAGTCTCCTACCATTTTCCGTCTTACCTCTTATAGACAGTTCTACTCTATGCATAATACTATTAGGTACCCTATCAGAGGATTGTAGATTCTTAGAACATCCTTGCTTACTTGTCATTACACCGGGGTGATATCGATGTAATGCGTCGCTTCCGGGGGACGCCCTAGCAAACCACCATTGCTTACTTATCATTGCATCGGGTGGGATCGATGCAACGCGTCGCGGTGGGGACGCCCCAACGAGTATATAATAGGATTTATTTTATATGTGGATCCGACTATGTTTTACGTTGGCTGTCGGCTACCTAACACAATCCTCCTCCTTTATCCTAGCTTGGGACAGGCAGTGCTGACAAACAGCACTGGCGGAGTTTCATTGAAAATTTTGAATGAAGAGAATTCATGTGGGAGAAAAAGACACAACAACCAGGTCATACTTTTAATTGTTTTATTCCATGAGTTAACGTTGCTTATGAGTTTTTCCAATTGTTCAAGGGGGTTTGCTATAATTTCAAAGTTCAGGGGGTTTTCTTTATTTATAAACTTCGAGGGGTTTTGTGCAAATCCCAAATTTCAAGGGTGTTTGTGAAATTTACTTTATACATATTATTATATTAAGAGAAAACTTTGAGATGTGAAATAAAATAGCTAAATAAGACAATCCTAGAAGAGAGATATACAAGCAGATATGAGATATATGTCGCTTGGCCCTTCAAAAGAATGAGAAAGCATAAACTCTCTTACATTTATAAAATCAAACAAGGTCCATCTGTAGAATGTATATGATACTTAGTTGTCAACAAGTTGCTACAAAATTACGCCCGAAATGCTAGGTTGACTGCTGCCTAATGTTTGCTAAGTAACATGAGCCTGGATATCCAATAGCAATAAGAATAAAAAGATGGTATGTCTTCCTAATGAACTTTAACCAGAACAGAAAAACTAAAAACAGCACATCATATGCCTGCTACTGTTATCAGAGACGATTAGCAGACAGATAATCGTGCCATGTAGCTCCAAATATTGTATAAATCCTCAAACAAGTTATAACATAATATAGTGTAGAAGGTAGGGAACTAAAAGGAATTCTAATTGAAGCCATGTCCACATCATCAAACATCTCGGTAGGTCTAGGCCTAGGACCTCTTCAGACAATTGACCACTTTATGGTGCATGACAAGTTAAAAAATTGAGATATCATCTGTTCTTTGGTGAAACAGGAACATTGTCTGTCAGCGTTGGATGATCTAAGGTTAGATGTAAAATCATCATCTCAACCACTTTTGTATCTACATGTAGAAAGAGAAAGAGATAACTTACTCATAAAACCACATTCTAGAAGGCTGTTAGATTCACCTTTTTGAGATAAATGGTGGGATGTAAATCACCGTCCTTCAGTATAAAGTTTTCAATGATACAAAAGCCAAATAATTGCAAAACCAAGATCCTAAAAGATCTCACCAACTCCTATGCTCCAGTGTGTATAACATAAAATACAAAAACGTCTAGCATAGATATGGCATATATCAGCAAGTCATTTAGTGGCAGGTGATATTCAATGAAAGCACGAGTGTCAAATGATTTCTTGGAAACTTTTTCTAAGGAGTTTATGGCTTGTCAATTTTTTCAAAAACTTCAACGAAAAGCAAATAATCAGCGATTTCTTAAAACCAAGTCGATTTCAGGTTTTTTTTTATAAATTTGTTTCTATATAGCTATAAAACAGAACAAGGTCTGGGAGATATTCCTACTTTCCACTAATCTTGAAAATTGAGGAAGCTTCAATAGGAGACTATGTCAGAAAAGAAAAAAGCAAAAAAGGAATCTGTAAGATTGGAGTAGCGCAGATAAAAGGAAGCATAGGAATGTAGCTTTATAATAGAAAACATAAGCAAGGCTATCTCCAAACTGAGTTCTCTAAACAAAAATGCCAAAAGATGAGGAAGAGAAAACCTGTTCACGGCTCAGAAATGAACTCCGTGTTTCTCTGGAGAAAATTCAGGATGTAGAGGAAGAGAATAAGAGCTTAAAAGAGGAGCTCCTCCATCTAAAAGCTCAGATTGCTTCCCTCCAGCAACAAGTTGATAAGAAGAAGTCCAGGTGTTCTAAAACCAGCAACGGTTTGTCACTTGACAAGCAGATTCCTAGTAACAATGCAGAAGAATCTTCAGTAGCTAACAGCTTAATTAATAGGATAAAGTTCTTTGAGGGGCAAACCACCACCAAGGAGAGACAGCCGCGAGCAGCACAGCTGCCACCTAGGCCTAAGTACTTTCCTTTAGTGCAAAACTTGGGAGGAAAAGAAGCACTTTTATCTCCAACAACGCCTCCACCTCCACCACCTCCACCACCTCCACCACCTCCACCAGTGAGGTCAAGAAGCATGCTCTCCAATGCAGTGCGCAGGGTACCAGAAGTAGTGGAACTTTACCGCACTCTAACAAGAAAAAAGGGAAAGCTAAACACAAGAACTTCTATGGCAGGGATTCCAGCAGCAAAGGATTCCCGTGACATGATAGGAGAAATCGAAAACCGCTCAGCCTATCTCTCAGCTGTAAGTAAACATCATTAGTGAACACATATTTTAACTTGCTTGAAGCTTAGGTTCCTTCCTTTAATAGTTTTGCCCTGAATCTCAAGACCTACAGCTGTTAATCTAATAGTCATTGTAGGTGAAATCAGATGTGCTAAACCAACGTAAATTCATCGATTTTCTGTCCAAAGAGGTTGAAAGTGCAGCCTTCAGAGATATCTCTGATGTGGAATGTTTTGTTAAGTGGCTGGATGAGGAGTTATCTCACTTAGTAGATGAAAGAGCAGTGCTCAAGCACTTTCCACGGTGGCCCGAACAGAAAGCAGATGCAATGAGAGAAGCAGCTTTCAATTACCGGGATCTAAAGAACCTTCTCTCTGAGATTTCATCATTTCAAGGTGACATGAATCGACCTGCACCTGTTGTGCTCAAAGTCATTCAGGCATTACAAGACAAGTGAGGATAATAACAGAAAGTGACACGGAATTTTCAGTGATTGAGAATTTAAAGTACTGTCTAACCCATCCTCATGCAGATTAGAACATAGCATTCACAACCTTGAGAAGACGCGGGATAGCACAAGCAAGAGATATCGAAACTTCAAGATTCCCTGGCAATGGATGCACAACTCTGGCATTATTGTTCAGGTATTTGTTTGTATCTTGCTGTTATCATGTAAAATTTTGGCTATAGACAAATATCCAGTAACATACCATCTCAATACAAGTCATATCCAATGCTGCCAAATATATTACAAGTTTGACGCGAATTTCTTCATGCTTGATACCTATCTAAATATGCAAAATCTGTATAAGCTAGTCCCAATTTACCAATCAAGGAGACCCACAAAACTGCAAATAGCAAAGCGGCATGACATAACACCAGTTGATGAACAAAGGGACCTACCATGTTGGTCAAGCAGTTATGCTCATGAAACCAAAGAGAAAGCCAACAAATTTCTCCTGAACTAACTGGGGAAAATGTCCATTAACAAGGAAGAAGGTATGCTTGCTTAACCAAGGAACTTAACCAGTCTTTGATAGAAAGAAAATTCCAATCAATTTCTTTCACCCAGTACAAGATCTATTTGGTTTAAGAGACTGGCAGTTCATATGAATTTCTCAGATCAGTGAAATTTAAAATTATGAAATTTCAGTTCCAGTCATGTAGTCTTCTCCCTTCTCGAATTAAAAGTTCATTCATTTCTAAATCCTGTGCGTAGTTGGATAATCTGGAGCACATGATTGGTACCTCATTCTCACCTCATTCTAGTTTCCTTGTTATAAATATGAATGTAGTTACCTTTATGTGCTCATGTGCTCATCTTCCAGAGCCCCAGACACCCACTTTTCACTTCCAGGAATTCAGGTACACCCATTTCAAAAATGGAATTGGAGATCAGTTTCTAACAGAAGAAATTGAGAACTGATGAATTGTACTAACCATGATACCGGATTTCTACAAATCCTTATAACCAAGAGATTAAAGTTGGGATCCTGGACTTGAAAATAATGATTCTATATTCTAGGAAACCAGCAATGCCCTGAATCATTTTAATTTTAAAACTTTAATGTACTTGCTTCAGAGATCAGAAAAAAATATAAATACAGTCTTATGGCTGTATTCTGAGAGATCCCGTATTCTCTGTTACTTTTACATCGCAGATGGTACTTCTATTGTGGTAGTTTACAATACATATCAAAAAGATAAATTGAAAAAAATACTTCCTTAAATACAATAATGAGATGAAGCAGTACCCAATAACAGTCCACATATGTATTAAAATAAAGTTAGAATGAACAAAGGCCTCTTGACCAGAAAAACTACAAAGCCTTATAGACTGTTGCATGGAAATGGGTGTGAGTATCTGCACGGGTACCAGACACGGCAAATTTGTAAAAGGTAGGGTACGGGGACATGGTTGTACAAATATTCACACACACACACACACATTACATATTTAAATAATAACTTACATGAGATCAACATTGTTTGTATTCACATGTTATGAGAACAAGTTCCTATTACATTTTTATGAGCAAAGTTACCAGGTTCGTATATTTTGTTGACCCTACATACAAAGTTAGGTTTATTTTCTTACTCCGGTGATTATATTTTGTGGACCACAGTGACAAGTAGCCCTATTTTTGGCCAAAGCCAAAATTCCGGCGAGATCAAGTCATGTGACACGTCACATGTGTTCTACGTGGCTTCAAACGTGGCAAGTAGTTGGGCTCATTCATATGAGTTGAAGGGTTTTTTGTTTTCAAATTAAGGCTCAAAACAATGGGTTCAAATAGGGTGAAATCTACCTCATAGGGTTAAATTGGGTTAGGACAGCAGAAATTGGAGATCGGTTATTCAAGCTCTTGCTCAAAGTTAGTTTCAAGCGTAAGCGCTAGAATAAGCAAACAAAGGCTCAACGGGGTGATCTTCTTCCTCCAAGGGTTAAATTGGGCTTTTTTTATAACTGTTACTTAGATCTAGCTTACTCTTTGCCACATAAGCCCATTTAAGCCACATAGGATGCATAGGATGCATGTAACGACTCACGCGACTCGATCTCACTGGAATTTTGGCTCCGGCCAAAAAATAGGGCTACATGTCACCGTGGCCTACAAATATATCTTATCGTTGCCGGAGTAAGAAAATATACCAACTTGGTACATTGGGTCAACAAAATATAGCAATATGGTAATTTTGCCCATTTTATGTTGCTATTATTATTATGTGGATTATAAATTGAAAATTGTCATTTTTTAGCCAAACACCCAAATGACCCTCTAAAATCATAATTAGGAACCCCCCTATGTCAAACGAGTTTTAAGAAGTTGATGTGAAGTGCCGGACATAGGTCTGAGAAGTTCATCAACACATGAACTTAACCGGAACTGGCTTTTGAATGCATTCTTTAAATAAACAGATAAATATAGCCCAAGATAAAAAAATGCACAGTAAGAGTGATAAAACTAAAATTTCATGTTACCTTTGCAGCTGAAGTTAGGCTCTTTAAATCTAGCCAAAGTATCTATGAGGCGAGTTGTGACTGCACTACAATCTGACTCATGTTCTGAGGAAAACGATTTGTTGCTTCAAGGTGTTAGATTTGCTTTCCGAGTACATCAGGTAGTTCTCTCTAATGCATTGTACTTATCTATTAGTATTCGTCGACTGATTCTGGAGAACATGAGCTTCTCATTCCAGTTTGTTGGTGGGTTCGATGAGGAGAGCAGGCATATATTCCAAGAACTTCAGACATTGGCCGACTGTTTACTGTACAGTGTAAAACAACCGGAAGAATGATCTCTCAGATCCTAATTATGAGAACAAATGTAATCAGAGTCACATATTCTAAAGAGAGAAATAATAACAATCAATAAAAAATCTCAGAACCTTTTTAAGGAGAATCCTCATAAAAATTATTACATTCATAGTTATGTTACTAGCACTATGTCAGGTGCTAGCCTAAGTGCTACCATACTTTGTGCTCTTCCTCTGAAGAATTGGACAATGTTGTTTGGGTTTTAAAATGTGTCTGCAACATTTCTGAAACTTATGAACAGAATGTCGAACCACTTCCTAAGTTTATTCGTATTTGTCGAAGATTTTTTTTTCACAATCAAAAAAAGGGGGACATAAGGAACATCTTAGGAGAAAACAAGCTTGCCAAACTGTATAACTATCAACTTGGACTGGTTGTATGACCCTTTTTCCATTCTACTTTGTCATGTGTAAGTCGACAATTTGTTTAAAAATAGCTAGAGACTACAGGAGATTGGCTGCATGCTATTTATGTGCATAAATACCATCCCCCGCCCCCCCCCCAACACCCCACAAAAAAAAAGAACAAAAACAATAAGTTGGAAATTATAAAAGAGACCAACTTTCTATCAATTTATAACGAAGAAGGGACATCTTGAATATATGGGATCCGTATCTCCCAGAAAATTAAGTAAAAGATACTACATTTGGAGATTTACATGAATAGAACCCTAAAAGATACTAAATTTTTACTTTAAAACCCTAACATGACATCTCAAAGATCAATTCAGCATCTTGCAATCATTCCCAACAAAAAATTAAGTAGAACACATCCCATTTCACTCCTACTAGAAACCCTAGAACGATTTCGAATCCTCATATTGCATCAAAACTTGCAGCACCAACGTCATCTATCCAACGAAAGAACCCAACTTGCAGCACGATCAACTAGAATAATGAAATAGTTAGCAACTTCGTGTACAAAAATTAAGATTAATAGTGCAAATTAATCATAATCAAAATTGAAGAGAGCCGTTACCTGTGACTGGGGTGGAATGAAAGAGAAAGGAAGGAAAGGGACAAGTTCACTGCGTACGGAAGAGGAGAACTTTTCATCGACGCCCCTAGAAGTTTGAGTGCTTGCACAATTTTTTCGGCCTAACTCTCTCGACGGTCGACCCCTATTTTGACGATGGAACTCCCGGCGGGCCGGGTCACAAAGATGAATGGGCTGATTGGGTAAGATCCAGCTGCCCAGTTGGACCCGACAATTGTGTGATTGCCCACTACTTTTTCTAGTCTTGTACGGTAAAACTTGCCCGACGAATGGTTCGTGTGCAGTAGTCATCCTATTTTGTATGGATCGAAAAGTACATAGTTCTTGACACACAAACTATCTAATGGATGAGGAGCATTTGATAGCTATAGCTTATGTGGACACCTCACATGTCCCCCATTGGGTCTCTCCTATTTGGGATTCCTGAGACATTTTTTATTGTCCAATTTTACAGTACTCTTTACTAGGCCTCTTTCGCTATCTAGCTCAGTAACCAATAGTTTGAATGTCTAATTAATGATATAATAATGCAAAAGACAATAATGATGTCAAATGTTAATAAACGCCTTTACCCAACCTATCTTTCATCTCCATGTTTTCTTCCACTCCTAACCTTTATAATTCACTATACCTACATTAATCATCGAAAACGTTACAACCCCCTAATATCTCAACAAATGACTAGAAATAAGAGCAAAGCTGATGGAAATAATATTCAAATAAAATACTGTAAGTGCACAAGAATTAAATTATAATAGTTAAATAGATATATCCATGGAGAAGGAGTGTATTAGAAAGAAATTTCTATTTGGGTTCTTAAATTGTGTAGGAAAAGAGCGAGAATAGAATGTGATTTGGGTGAGGGTTGTCACAAAATAAAAGACTAAAACAAGATGGAAGAATAACAGAAAGAACACAATAAAAGGAAAAAAAGGAAATCAATTCAAAACAAGAAGTAAATAAAAAGATAGAGGAAAACGAGTGAGAAGACTAGGAATCTAGGATTGAATCCACTAAATAATTTTAAATTTTGTTACTGTTAGATGCTTAACAGCAGGATTTAGGACTGATTTTGAAGAGCTTAGGGTCCATTGATCTCCTTTGATGGCTGATTCCCTGATAGGAAGAGAGTCCAGCACATATGCAATACGTTAGGTGATCGAAATTGGGTTCTCCAATAATTCCTCCAATTATCAAGTTAGTTATGATCTGAAGGAGAGAAATGAACTAATATAGTCCTCTCTAAGTGTGCAGAAATTGCGTATTTTTGGTCAGTAGACAATGTACCTATTTATACCGAGCTGACGAGGGTATTTATATAATCTTGGCTAAGCATATATAGTCGGCTTAGTCAACTGATACCTTTATAGATGTTGGCATTAGGGAGTTCTAGTTACCCTTGTGATTAATGCGATGTTAACAGGGGGAGTAATGTGCTGACAAAGTCCGATGACTCATTAAGACCTTTAGCGGGGTTAATGATGCCTCCGACCGTGCATTTAATATGATGGTGATTGGCTATCGGCAAGGAGTTTGAGAATGACTACATTCGGTCTCAGCTTTGCAAGAGGCTGAGAAAAGATGCTTTTTGTCTTGACCCTCAAGGGAGACGAGAAAGAACATCGTTTATCTCGGCCTTCAAGGGAGATGAGAAGTCAGTGTGTCTAGGTCAAGTTGGCGAGTAGTTCGCTTAGGACACATGTCAGCTAGTTGAATGTGATTAATATTTTCTTATTTCTGGCACAACAAAATTAATTTTAAGAATTACTCTCTTTTTATTCTCATATTTCTTAGAATTATTAAGCATATACTATCAAGTTACTAAAAACAAGCATAACTTACTAAAACATATTCAAGCAATATTATCATTTATGAAAAGAAACAAACAACTAGATAGTAACTTTAGAACTAAAGAAACATTAGCTATCAAACCATTTAAGATACGTATAGCCTATCAAATCTATCAATTAATTCTCTAGTTAATTATGCTAAATATGATCATTTGAAGCACAAAGAAAGTAATTCAAATATCAAAAGAAAAATCTAATCCTAGAATTATTACAAGAGATTAGCTACTCATACAAGAAATTAAAAGTAAGAAATTAAAATTTAAACTATAAAACATAAAGGGAACAAGAAAATAAATCTAAACTACAAAGCAATAAAAGAGAGCAATAGAAAATCTACACTACAAAGTATAAAAGAGCAAGAAAATAAATTTACAATGCAAATTATAAAGAAAATCTATAATACAAAGCAATAAATCTAAACTACCAAACATAATAAAAATAAGAAATAAAATTCTAAAACATGTATTTCTAAAACAAGAAAATAAAAAAGTAAAATAAAAATTTACATTGTAACGGGTTGGGCCTTTGTGAAACAAATCTTCATCTTCAAAGGAGAAGAAAAAAAAATAAAAAAGAGAAAAATTTTATTCATTGTAAATAAAAAGATTACAATTTGGAAGGTCTTTTCAATTAAAAGTAACTCTCCTCTCAAACATCAAGTTTACCAAATTATTTATATCTCCATACTCTTCACTCTCCATCCATATTTATAGCCTACAACCTTTAACCACAACAATTGAATCAAGCCGGGGTTACTAAAAATCAAAATCGATCATTGATACTTTTCTGTTGCAAACTAATCGATTACTTTCTAACAGAATTCTAATAAAATTTTGTTGACTTCATTGACTTTATCTTCTTTGGGCTTTTTGGCTTTGTGGTCTTCTTCTAGGCTTCAATATGTGCTTCAAAATGAGGAATTGTGATTCCTTTAAGCTCTTACTCGATAATTCTTTATTATCTGTAGATTAAGATAAAAATATTATTAGCAGATATATTTATTAAATAAAATAGATAATGAGGGCATAAAGTACAATTACATGTAATGATCAAAAGTCCTACCATCTATTCTCTCTTTCCTCCTACTTTCGAGCCTCCTTCTCCTGCGTTCGGCCTACTAAATCACTATTAGCCTGATTACAACACAACGCAATATTTGAATCTTTAATGGAGTTTAAATCATGCAGCAGTGACGTAGTTCTCCCTTTCTCGATGGCAAGACCTATCGCCACCCAAGTTGCTATCGAGTCATTCAAATTACTGGACAAAAGTGTTTGGCTATAAAAACCATGTTCAATGCGTTGCTGTTTACTGTTAAGAATGTTGACATATTTAGGATGACTAGTATAGTGCATGTGCGTTGCACGTGAACATATTTGTTTTATGTTCTAATACTTTACACAATTCATTATTTAATTAATAGAAGAGTTTCATTTTGAATGTAATTATAACAACATTTGAGGACTTATTTGTAATTTTCTTACAATTTAAATCATATACTTCTTTCAATCTTCTTAAGGTTTAAGTTTTGAACTATATAGGGGTTTATCTTTAAAAATTTATGAAGTTTCAGTATTTTTCTATAAATATATGAAATTTTAATGGTGTTCGTGAAAATTATGAAGATCCATGGTTGTTTGTGAAAAAATTCAGGTTGTTTTGTGAACATTGGCAAATCATGGAATACCCAAAATTAAGATACAATTTTCTTAATCTTAAAAGACATAGTTCTATTTACTTTATAATTTAAGATAATGAATGACATTTAATAACTACTGGGAGTTTTATGTACAAATTTAGAATATAGTTTTAACATTAGGGAGGTTATAATATACTTATTATATAAAAAAATTTACCCAAAAGATAAAAATTCCAAGTTTGTTCTTTACTTTTATGTTAAGTGTGTCATAATATTCCAGTTTATATTAATTATCTTTATTTTTGCTAATTCATTATAGCAAAATAAAATTCTCACTTTCACCTTCTCTCTCTTCTATTATCATATAATTAGTAACATGCTACAAAAAATATATCTACTAAGTTCATGGATAATACAATATTTCTCTCAAACACTAGTAGAAAACAGGGCATTGGCGATGGGGTATTGACGACGGATTTCAAATCCGTCGCCAATA